GGAGGGCTGTCCATTTCTGTGCTTAGTTTCTGAGTCTCTGATCCGGGATGGGTTTCCGGTCTTCAGTGCTTCCTAGAAGGGACCTCTGTCCCCTTCAGCTTCTTGGTGACTTGTCTGGGAAGGGTGAGCTTTCTCGGCTGTCACTGGAGGAGTCACAGGAGTTTCCTCCCTGCCGCACCCTCTGCTGCCTTCTCCCCGCCTGAAGCCTTGCAGGAGACGAGTGGGTGGCGACAAAGACCCCACGTGGCATTCGGGGGCTTCTGCCTCCACTCCCCTTGCAGTGCAGCTGCAGCGTGGGGAGAAGGCATGGGACGGAGCCAGGGCTGGCGCTGCCACGGTCTTCACCTGCCTGAAGGTTCCACTGTTCCTCCGGGAGTTACTGCGGATTCCCGTCACCGTGCCGTGGGCCCCCACGGGGACGTTTTCCACCCTGCTGCATGAACACAGGGAGTCACGGAGGCCTTCCGCTGTCAGAGGCAGCCAGGACCATCCTGCCTGGGCTCCGCCACGGAGCTTTTCGGGTGTATTTGTGTAGCATCAGAGAACAGGACCCCCAGGGCCACAGCTGCATGTATGTGACTTCCCCTTTCCATGGTACACCAACACTCGTCTCCTGCCCTCTCCCCAGAGCCCAGCTCTGCCCTCTGCTTCCGTCTTCCTTACCTTCTGCCTCATGAGTTGGTTTCTGTTACCGGAGGCCGCCGGCCACTCCCGGACTTGTCCTGGGTGGGCAGGATGGGGATGGAGACGCTACCCGTTCCAGGTCAAGCTTCGTGGAAAGTCCAGACACTACACTTGGGTTTGGTTTCATTTTTCTTTTATTTTTTAAAAAAAGCCCCTAAATTCTATGGCTTCAAGGGAGCATCAGAGAAACGTAAATGCCATTTCTGTACACTTGGTAAAGCAAAAACTAGACTCACAGCCACCGCCCTAGGCACGGCCCCAAGCTGCTTCACTCTGCCCAGCAGCCTCCAGGGCACCCCGCTGGGGGACCACCCGCCAGTCCAGGGCCGCCCCAGGCCCCTGCACATACACCCGCGGGGCTGCGCCGGGGCTTTAAGGCGTTTTGTCTCCGGCTGCTTGCCGGGTGGCGGAGCACAGAGGCAGGAAGCCCTGTCTGTGCCCACGCGCCCCACGCAACAGGGCCCAGGGCCGAGCAGGGCGACACCAGCTGGTCCTCCCACCTCAGGTTCCAGGCGCCGGGGCACAGCCTCCGGAAGCAAGTGCGTTGAGAAGCACCAGCCTGGCAGTGCCCGCCCGCCCCTCGCCGGGGCCAGGCCGGGCAGAGGCTGCAGTGGCCGTGCCCGCGGCGCCCAAGCTTTGGTGCAGCATTTTGGTTGGGGAGCCGGCTTCCGCCGCGGGCCCACCCCTGCCTTCCCCTTTGGTTTCAGGGAGGCCTGAGGCACGGCCTCACCCCTGGCAGCAATGCCTCTCCCCTCCCAGGAGGGCCTGGGCAAGACAGCCCCACAGCACCCTCCAGGCCGGGCCTGCCCTCCCCTCGAGAAAACGGCCTTTGGATCGAGGGAGACAAGCTGGACTTTATGACGCTAACGGGGGCGGCTGGCGGGGCCGGGCCGGGGCCCCCCAGATCACACTACTCACTTCAGCAAAGAAACGGAGGGCAGGGTGGGGGCAGGTGGGCCTCTGTGTTTTTCCTTTTTTCCTTGTTTTAAATAGTTAATGCTTTTGGAGGGGAGGACTAGACACAGGTGTAGAAATTTCGGCCAAAGTCTTACGTGAAGGAAGTGACCCCACGTCCCGGGGGTGGGGCCGCCGGCTGAGCCAGGTGCGGCCCCTGCAGTCTGCGTTCTGGCTTCGGGCCAGGGTCTGGCCCTGGGCCGCTGTGGGTGGGCCCCGAGGGCCTCGCACAAGCTCTCGCCCCAAGGGGCTGCGCGGAGAAGATTCAGGGGGCTGCACACGCCCGGGGTCACTTGTGTCGCTGCAGTGATTTTCTCTTTCTCCTCTTGAAGAAACAGCAGCATCTGGGGAGGGAGGTGGCACAGGTAGGAGGAGCGGGGTGCGGGGCGGGGGCAGCCCAGGCCTCAGGTCCTCCCACCCCCAGGGGAACCAGGGCACCCCCACCTCCCCAGAGCCTTACTTGGTTTCATCGGCCACCTCCACCTCTGCAGGCGCCGTGATGGGGGCATTGGAGTGACCAGCCGTGGGGTCGTCCGCGTTCAGCTCCCCGTTGGTGGAGTTCAGCGCCTGGCGGGGACAGTAGGGGGTCACGCTGGCCGCCCGTGCCCCT